TGCTCTTAAAATTTCTTTCTAAATTGCTGCTATATGTGGAGCATGTGCTCATGTGGAAATATATACTGTTGTTCTTGGTCTCAGATTCACAGAATCCACAACTTGCGTCCACAGAAACAGAAGCTCGAGTTGTTACTTCAGAAAGTACTCCAGATGCCTAAAAGGACTCGTTGATATATACATGATTTCATGAAAAAAATTTCATTTGTATAAACTTTATAATTAAAAGGTCATGTTCTCTTTATCAGTCGACCATTATTTTCTGTTCGGCAGCCATTCATAATTTTTTTGGGGTCGAAATAGGTGACTGCTGCTTCAAGATTTCTTGTGTTCTACACAGCTATTATGTGGCAAGAAAAAGATTATCAACTAATCAACCAACTCATGCATTTTTTTTTTGGTCTATTCCTTTTCTATATTAATTTACTTTGTTCATTTTTAAAGTGTATCATTTCTCCAATAAATGTATGAAGAAATTTTGTTCTGGGCCCGTACAGAAAGTTAATGTCGAACTTGAGCCAACACGTCTTACGCAATTAAGCAAAATTAGTGGTAATCTGGATTCCACCAGAAATTAAGAGGAATTCTCTTGGGATAATTTTATTAAAATCTGAGATGATGAAAAACGTTCACCAAATCTGTCTAAATACACATCTCTCAACCCTTGAACTGCTAAGGAAGTTATTACATTAAAACTGAAAAACAGAATTTATTCCGAAAATTAACTACTAAACTTTGAATGCGGTTTTGGCAGGCCAAATGACCTCAGAATGCCAAAATCCACCATACATCACAGCAAAGCTGTGAGTTTGACTCGTGGCGTCATTCCCTTTCCGAAAAGGCCTTTTTCGGAGCTCGGACGACAAATCTGCAAATTCCCGCTACATCCTTTTTCTAGCTCAACCGCGATAAAATCTGCCATTTATTCTAAATTTGAAATTTTACATTTATCTGAAATTTGAATTTTGAAATGTATCTGAAATTTGAAATTCGAAATTTATCTGAAATTTATCTGAAATGTGAAATCGAAAATCTTATATGATATGAATAGTGTTGACACATAGGAACCCAAAAATCTTACCCGAAAATATTATCTAAAATAATTGTTTAAGTAAAAAAAGTTGTGAAAAAAACAAAAAAATGAATAGTAGTTGCCATGGCAAGGGTTTGACTGCCGGAAACACACATAGCTAAAAAAGGCAAGGGCAGCCACTATTCACGTGAATAGTGTCAGCCCTAGCCCCCCCCTTGCCATGGCAAGGGTTTGCTGCTGGAAATGCTCTAAGGTAAGCATGTTGAGAACCTCCACTCCTTCTCAAAAATAGTCAATCAATTAACTAAGGGAAAGAGCCTAATTTAATTTATGGCTTTGGGCTTTTGGCCACCCAAAAGTCAGGGTCCACCCTGACTATAAACCTCATTTATTTCTAAGTGTACGCTTTGATATATGTACATATACAAATTTGGGGAGTATAATATTTTTGGTGTTTAAATTATAAGAATGTTGACATAAGTTTATGTGCATTGTGTAGCCTCATGTAGAGAAAGAGAAAAAAAGGAAGAAGAAAAGAATGCACGAGGTTTATACCTCTACGCGTTCATCTAACCCCACACTTGTGACAAGAGATCAATTCTCAACCTTTGCCTCTTCCGGAATCTTCATGACTAAATATACACATACACAAAACTACCCTTCAAAATGTTATGTAGTGGATCTTCATATAGTGGCTTCTTCCAAACGAATGCACCATTTGTTACCATATGCGTCGATGCTCACAGAGCATTGCTACGCTTACCAAATGACATAATGGTATGTAATTCATTCCAATCTAAATCGACTATGAACAGGCTTTGGGCCTAGGCGCCAAGGGTGATGATCAGGGCCCCAAAATTTATATATACAAACCGTCTCTGTATTGTATTTCACTAATCCGAACCGTTTCTTTTGTAGATATTCATTCAAAAATCATCTTTACAAAAAATATCACTTGAATCCAATATCATTTGAGCATTCAATTAAATCATTGATTTTGTTAGTTTCAATTATGCCTTAATGATTTTTAATGTGTCTGATTTTTTGCAAGGATGATATATGAATGAAGACTTGAAAAATAGACGGTTTGGATTGTTGAAAAAAAATAAAAATTAGTAGGGTACCCTTAAGGGTGTCCTTCAGATAAAATAATTTGAGGGATCTCTCAATGAAAGGGACTATTTATATATATAGAGGGATATCTCATTCTTCCTATCTTTGTGCTTCGATCTCTCACTGAAAAGCTCACACTTTTTTCTTCTTTTTTTTTTTTATAAAAAAAAAAAATCTAATCTTTGTCTTTGAACCTGATAGTGACCAAGAGGAGAGAAGCATGAAAGTCTAAAAAACAAATCAGATTTATGAATTCTTTAAATTATTAATGTTAATAAGTTGGGAAATTTTCTGAAGTCTATCTAATGGGGAAAATTTGTATTTTTTGGGTTTGTGTCTACAGGATTTGAACTGTAAGTCTTTTTTTTTTTTTTTGGTAACTAAAAAACAAAGGAGAGATTCTCAATACCATTTTATGTGTAATTGGAGCCTGGGTGATGAAGTAAGAGTATTTACAATGGACTCCCTAAAACACATCTTTAGATAAATTTTAGGGAGAAATTAAAAAAATACAACTCCAACCATGCTTCCTATCTACCTCCTAAAATAGGGAGACTTCTAGGAGTTCCTAAATGTGAGGAGAGAGAAAGGACTCCTAGTGGCTCCCTATAATTTAATGTAGCTTTATTTTATGAGTATTTTAAACCTTTAATTAATGTTAACTATTTTTTATATTATATTTTTATAATTAGAGTTAAAATTTTATAGAGAGCTCCTAAAATAGCTTTTATATGTTTTAAGCTGAATTTTAACTTAAAAATAGAGAGCATGATTGTAAATGCTCTAAAGTAAGCATGTTGAGGAACTCCACTCCTCAAAAATAGTCAATCAATTAACTAAAGGAAAGAGCCTAATTTAATTTATGGCTTTGGGCTTTGGGCCACACAAAAGTCAAGGTCGACCTTGATTATAAACCTCATTTATTTCTAAGTGTACGCTTTGATATATGTACGTATACAAATTCGGGGAGTATAATATTTTTGGTGTTTAAATTATAAGAAGGTTGACATAAGTTTATGTGCATTGTGTAGTCTCATGTAGAGAAAGAGAAAAAAAGGAAGAAGAAAAGAATGCACGAGGTTTATACCTCTACGCGTTCATCTAACCCCACACTTGTGACAAGAGATCAATTCTCAACCTTTGCCTCTTCCGGAATCTGCATGACTAAATATACACATACACAAAACTAAGGATGAGGGGTCTCTTTCGTGTTATGGTACAAGATTTGCTCTCTTAGGAACCTCATCTGCATAAGAGTTTGCTCTTAGTTTAGTGATGTTTTCTCTTTTCAATATTGAAAGAAGTTCCACGCATCAATCAACCCTCATTTGTCAAACTTAAAAGGAGTGTGATTTGCCTAAAGTTAAAACTTTGAAATACACTTCACCCTATTGGGCTGAGTTAACTCTTCTAGCAGGAGGTGATCAAGCTTTGAGCTTCAATTTTGGCCCGTTTATTTTGAATCATGGCCCAGTTGATCCAATAGCCCTAAACCCTAAATTTGCCTACTACGTCTCACAGTCTACACAATGATCACATAATGGCTTGATGATGTTGATCAGAGTATATTGCTTTTGCTAGCTAGCAAGCTGTCACATGGCTAATTAAGTATCGAATGCAAGGAAAACCACATGCATTCATTCTTCTCTAAGCTCTGGAACTAGTACTACTGGCTTTACTACTGCTGTGGTAAATGGTAATTAATTGAAAGATAGCATGTCAGCTTTCAGAAAATAAAGGTTGCTAGGATGAACGACTAATCAAACTATATAGCTAGGTTAAGTAAAACTTGCACGTAATGAATATTGATTGAAATGTCCACATGCACATACTAAATAACTAGAAATTAATGATTCACCCTGCAACTCTCTCTCTCTCTCTCTCTTCTCTCCCTCTGCTGTTCTGTGTGTGTGAGGTGAGTTGACTGTTGGGTATGTAAATTTGCACACAGAGAGAGAGAGAGAGAGAGAGAGAGAGAGAGAGAGAG